CCAGCTCACGTTCACCATGCTGTGAACTGACTGGCGAGGGTGAGGGTGCTGGGATATAGCAAGGGTGGGCACGTGAACTCACCTCCAGCACCCAGGTAAAAAGGCAGGCCTAGGGATCACGTGCTTGTAACCTCAGAGCTGGGGAGGTGGAGACAGACAAACTCCTGAGGCTCCCTGGCCAGCCAGCTTAGCCTAACTGACAAGTCCCAGGTCCCACTGAGAGACAAGAGACCCTTTCTCAGAAAGTGGCTGGATCCTGAGGAACAACATCCAAGACAGACTTCTGGCCCCTGTGCCTGCTGGCACACACAGGAACACACACACACACACACACACACACACACACACACACACACACACACCCCAATAAGGGGTTCCCTTTGCAGCTGGGGTACTAAAGCCTGAAAAGGGGCTTGCCAAAGTTCTCCCAATAAGACTGTAGCAGGACCAAGGTCTTTGTGGTTTCAGGCCTGCGTGGGTGGACCCAGGCCCTGACCTCCTGCCCACATGTGCGTCCTGACAATGCGGGATGTGCCCAGGGGCCGCTGACCTACATTGTCAGGAACTGCATCCTGCAGAGTCTCTGGCCAGCTGCTCTCCTTCCCAGGCACAGATGAGCTTGGCTTTCCCAGGCAGCTTGTGTATACCTCCCGCTGAGCAGTGCTGGACCAGGAGCCAACACGTCTACCCTCTGACCAACCCTAGCAGGTGTCCATCTCTCGGCTCAACACAGAGCCCTGCCAGGCAGGCAAGCATATCCTTAGCTTGGGTTCAGCCTTCTCAGAGTTCCAGGGCTTCTAAAAGCCTCTAGTGAGTGCTCAACAGTGAAGTCATTCCCCGCTGGAGCACGGGACAGGTTCATACCTACAGTCTCCTTAGAGTCTAACATGATGCTTAGGAGAAGCAGGGCCGTGTGGGTTAGGTTAGAAGGGCAAGCGGTGAGGTTGAGAGAAATACCGGACAGGCCTGGGTTTCATCTCATCCCCGTGACTTAGCAGCTGGAGAGCCTGGGCTAGTTACTTAGTTATTCCCTCCTCAGCATCCTGTCAAGTGAGCGTAAGATCTCCCTGCATTCTGAGAGTGGCGTTCTTCCTCTAGCATCCAGCAGAGGTGAGTCTTATCCTTACCATTGCTTATCCATTGCCATTGCATGAGAGGAAGCCGGTGCACAGCCCTGGGAGGCCACCTCTCACGGAAGCCACCCAGTCCTGAATGGAGGACCTGTGAGAGAAGGACCCTCATCTGTCCTGCTTGCAGTGACATTCCTGTGTCCATAGCAGTACCTGGAAAATGAGGGTGCTTTAGCAGTTATGTAATGGATGGATGGATGGATGGATGGATGGATGGATGGATGGATGGATGGATGGATGGATGAGGGGGTGTGGGGTGGATGGATAAATTCCTGACTAATTGCCAGGTGAGAAAAATGGAAGGAAGAAAACTAGAGAATCGAGCAGATTGCCAGTCTTTACAGCCAGTCATCCCAAGCAAGAGCAGCACTGTTAAACCAGAGACAATGCAGTCCTTGGAAGAGAGGCAGGCCTGGAGTCCAGGCCCAGGCCCTGGGCTGGCTGTGTGGACAGCCCACAGTGAGGTGAGCCCAGGGCAGGGCCCATCCCCCAGCAGCCCTTCATAGCTGCCCTGGAAGCTGAGGGGTGGCTCTATCACAATGCCTGGACATCTGGCCTCAGTGACCTCTGTTAGGGCCAGTAGGTACTTCCCTTAGTAGCAGGGAATGCCTCTGACAGCTTCCCCATTTTCAGCCTCACTGAACTGGTGATTCTGAGTTCCCAGGAGCGGGTAGGTTACTCCACAGCATGCCACACAGTTCTTTGGTGACCTCTAGTGGCCATTTGGTGCACAACAACGATACCTCAAAAGTGCTCTGGTGGTGCTGGGCGGCAGTGAAACACGCCTTTAATCCCAGCAAAGCCAGGTGAATCCCAGAGGCCAGCCTGGTCTACAGAGGGAGATCCAGGACAGGCACCAAAACTACACAGAGAAACCCTGTCTCGAAAAACAAAAAAGTGCTCTGGTGGCAACTCTCCCTCCCCCAGATGTGACTTCAAAGTCTACTGTGGACCCAAGTCCGACACAGGATCCGGATGACCCAACAATAGCTTGCTTAGCTTGCTTTGGGACTCAGTACCAGGGTCCCTTGACTGTATTCAAAGATTCCTATCATCCCCTAGCCTCACAAGGACAGGAACTCTGACGTCTGTCAGTGGTTGTCACTGCTGACCTTGGGAACAAGTCCATTCTGTCTCCTTAATTAAACCAGGAAACTTATCAGGAAACCACCGCCCACAATGAATGCATCCCAGCCACTGACGGTGTCCTGAAGGGTCATCTCCAGCCCAGGCCACTCTGACTTTGCATTCTGGAGGTCACCTCAGGAACCTCCTGTCCCTTCTAGCACCCCTGCTCACACATGGACTCCAACCCCGTGGACTCAGCTTGGCACAGCTAAGGGCATAGAGCCCAAGAGAGCGTGCAGCTGAGCAATCTGAATATCAGATGGCCTCAGCCCACAGACCCCAACCTCTTCCTGCTTCCATATGGGAACACCATCTTTTCTCACCCACAGCAACCCACGCAGTGCCCACCTGCAAAGCCAGACCTAGAGAGCAGCCAGGTGAGGGAGGGTTTCTAGTCTTGCTTGCCTTCCATACCTGTGGGCCCCTTCAAGGTGCCCCTTTTCCCATGATTGACCCTGGGTGTGCCAAGCACACCTTCAGAAGAACATAGCAGCCTGAACACCTTTCTTTGACAATATGCTTTCAGGGGACCCACTGGACTGGCAAACAGATTTGCTAAGAAAGGTTGGCTTTACTTAGTAAGTTTCTTGTTGGTACCTATCAATGAATGGATTTTGAAGCCGTATTGTGGGACCAAGCAAGTAAGTAAATATGGTGACTTGGCTGGAAATCAGAGATCTCATTTGGAGAAGAGAGATGAAATTAGGGAATGGGAGAAGCAAAGGAGATCTCCGAGGTGTAGCTTCATCTGTAAAATAGATGAACAGATATGGAATAGATGGTGGAGGGGTTAAATAGATGATAGATAGATAGCCAATGGTAGATACATGGATGATAGATAGATGACTGGTAGATAGTAGATAAAGGATTCATAGATGATAGGCGAATGATATGTAGAGGGTAGATGATTGATAGATAGGTAAATAGACAAATAATTGATAGATGCTTAAATAATAGAGAAAGATAGATGATAAATAGATGCTAGAAAAGTGACAGATATTGATACTTAATAGATAAGACTGATAGATGATATATGCATGCATGCATACAGACAGACAGACATAGGACTAAAAGTAATGATTCCCTATGACAGTGCACTCACAAACTTCTCAGATGTTACTTTCTAAACACCATTGCACTGAAAAGAAAAATAACCAATTTCAATGCCAGGGCAAGGAAAATGCCAGGGGAGCTGAGAACATCCTGTGCCAAGAAACATGAAAGTCTTCAAAAAATAAAGATGACAGGAACATGTGGGAGAAAGCATCAGAGGCAACATGAAGGCGTTTTCCACTGGCCAAATCTGCATAAACTTGAGTCAAAATGCATAATGATAGCAATGGGTTGTAGGATGCTGGATTTAAAAGAACTCATGAGGCCATAAATAACAGGAAAGAAAGAAAGTGCTGTTTTGCAGCAGGATGTGGTATGTCCAGATGGGGTGACAGTTAGCAAATCCCTGGTTGGCAGTTCCCAAAGTCACTAGCCCTGAGCTAATGTCTGTGGGAAACAGGATCTTCACAGGGTCTCACAGTGGCTCCAATAGATGACCCTTTAATCACAAAGGGGAAAATGGTACCTTTCAAGTGGTGAAACCACCACAGCCACGTGAGCACAGTTAATATCACCAGTCATTGGACAAAGTGCTTACTTATGCCCTGAGGTGACATGCAGCGGGGACATCTCTTATGCAGGATACCTGCCCAGCATGCATAACCTGAAGCCAGTCATGACAACAGCCAGCAAATCCACATCAAGGGATACTTAACAACAGTTAACAGTTAACCAGGCTGAATTCCTCAGGAATACAGATAAAATGAAAGACCAACGTGGTCTGGGGCATTGTTTGAGACTAAAGCAAGCTAGAAAGACGCAAGAAAATGCAGTGCACTGGTCCTGGGGTGAATCCTGCTTTGGGAAAAAATGCAAGATGCAAAATGCCTTAAAGGACCCATTGGACCCACTGTTGAAATGAGAAGATGGCTAACAGAATAAACAGTGTCTCTGTTCGTTCGAAAGGATATGCGTACTAGAGAGTTAGTGTCCGCAGCTTGTCCAGGATAGCTTGTGCTAGTCCCTAGCATCTCTTTGGAAACAGCACTGTCAAAGAGCATTAGCAACCGCCACACATCTCTGACCCGTCTTGGGATTGGCTGCCTGGAGTAGGTACCCACCTCTTGTCCAATCAGCTTTGGCCCAGGCTGTGCCATATGATATATAACATGGCTGCCATCATGGCTTCTTCAATGTATGTCTTTCTAGAAGGGCTTGTAGTGGGCCCTATGTATGGTTGGGCCAATCTATTCTGTAACTCCAGCTGCCCAAGCTCACTCCAGAGAGTCCTCCAGACCCCCCTGCCCAACTTATAGCCAGTTCTCTCACTTGCTGTTTCAACAAGCCTTACACAACATACCTCTTCTGGGCTGAGTTGTTACTGGAATTTTCTTACTGTAATATTTTTATTAATTCTTTGAGAATTTCATACAATGTGTTTTGATCGTATTCCATACACACACACATTCTTCCCCCTAACTCTTTCCATATCCACCCCTTCTTCCTACTTTCCCTGATTTTGTGTCCCTCCCCCTCTTTACATAACCACAGAATCCCGTTTGTGCTGGCCATATGCTCCTGGGGGTGGAGCCAGCCACCGGTACACAGCCCACCTCCCAGGGACCACACCCTTAAAGAAAACTGCCTCTCTGTCTCCCAGAAGCCATCAGTTGTCCATAGCTCCTCGGTACAAATACGGAACACTGCAGGGATTTGCTTGTCATTGAGCAGGGGCCATGCTAATCCCATCTGTACCGTTCCAGTTGTAATATCGGTGCTGCCGAAGCCGACACTGTTACTAGAATTAAGAGTCAGAGCCTGGGCCCTGACAGCCCCCATAAAGCAGGTGTGGCCATTTCTTCTTAATAAGGCAATTAAACAAGCACTAGTTTAAAAAAAAAAAAAAGTAGAAAAGGGTGATTATTCAACACAGGCACATTGGGAGGGGGATGAGGAGATCCTATGAGCCCCTCCCGAGTCATCCTTGGGTCCTCATGTGAAATTTAGGTTTAAGGAGAGGGCCAGAGGAAGACACAGCAAAGGGGTTCTGGTCAAGGTGCGCTGCAAGACCATCCTCAAGCCACCCTTGTCTGGGCTCCGGTCAGTCCTGCATGACAAGCTGTGAGTAATCTCTTTCCAGAGACAAGCTCTCCGGCTGGCTGGCAGCGGATGTCAGTGAGATTCCTGGGGGAAATTCCAATTTCTTGGGGTGCCTTGTTTCCGAGAGGCAGAAGGGGCACAAGGATCTTCCGAATAGTCTTCCTTTCTGTCAGGAGGGTTCAGAGTCTTGTTAGAGCCTTGGGACACAGCACTGACTCAGCCCTTTCCCTCAGCACCTCTGTCTCAAGTTGGCCAGGCGTGAAGAAGCCTCAGGACCAGGGTTCAGGCTTGAGTTACAGCCATCAAGCAGAACGCAGCTGGTGCTAGCTGGCTGCTTCTTCCCACCATGGGAATGCAAAGGTCTCCCGACACATCGCTGCTTGTGGCGTATGGGAGGGAAGGGGGCCTTGGCTGGGGACTCTGCTACTGGAAGACGGCCAGTCCATCCCTGGGGTTTTTGTTTTCTCTTTTATGCAGCCGGACCCAGCAGGCCGGGACATCTCCATCCGCCCACTGCTGGAACACTGCGAAAACACCCACATGACCATCTGGCTCGGCATCGTCTACGCCTACAAGGGGCTCCTCATGGTAGGTGCCAGGCAGGAGGCAGAGTTTGGGGATGCTTCCTTGCCGGGCCTGTTTCTCCTAGGGGCCTCCACAACATGAAAATAAACAGAGCATTCCCCCATATGACTAAGGCCCTAGTCTCCGAGGGGCCTGGTCTCAGACCCTGCCACAGCCCTAGGAGACAGGCAGAAATGATGTCCCAGTTTCCCTCCTGAGGCAAGGCTGTTTCCTCTGCAGGCTCTAAGGAGGAGCCCTTCCAGGACTCCTCCGGTGATGGTGCCTCCAGACAGTCCCTAACTTGTGATTGGTGGCCCTATCTCTAACTCCTCCTCTTCTCTCTTAGCCCTTATCATTGGATCTAGGGACCAATTAGATGATCTCTAATTCCACTCACAGATCCCTAATCGTACCTCCCAAGACTCCCTACCCCACCCACCCCGCACACCACCACCAATAAGGCCACATTCACCACGTCCATGGATCTGGATGTGGATACACCTGTGAGGGCCACTACAGATCATAGATGGGTCGTGTTGCAAGAAAGTTCTTCCTAGCCTCAGCTCAGTGCCCGTGAGTCCTCATGCCACCCCTTGAAGGTCTAAAGAACTTATGACACTATTCCCTCCTGATGGTGACACTCCTCAGAGACCTGCAGCCAACCACCAGGCTGCCCGTGCTGTACGGACTCTCTGCTGGCTTGGTTATCCTGACCAGAGCTACAGTCTTAGGCACCCATCAAGCCCTGTCACTCACCACCATGGGCCCCACCCAGGCAGGCCCCTGCATCTGAGAGGTGACATGGCCTCTGGGGACTGAAGGGATCATGCACGAAGGACCCGTACAGCTCAGACTTCAGTGGGCGGTGGCTTCCTTCCCTCACCTGGGTGTCTGCTTCCCAAGGCTGCCGTTTCCCAGCAAAGGGATTTGAGGAGCCCATCAGCACAGTGTGGGGACACAGACCTGTGATCCCAGTGTTACTGAACTGGAGGTACAGCCTGTGCCCCAATCAGCCACCCACCCTCCATAAACCAATTAGAACAGCCAAATCTATGTGAAAAGCCGAAAGGGGAGATTTTCAAGGTGAAAACATTGGGAAGAGGGAGAAAGAAATCCAGTGAGACCCTGTCCTCCCCAATTCTAAGTCCATCTCCAAGATCTGGAGGAGAGGTTAAAGTTTAAGAAGTTGGGTACACCTAAGCAGTCCCGGTCAAGGTGTGGTCCTGCCCACCTTTGACCTACCCTTGCCTCTCCTGTGATCTGTCTAGTAAGTTCTAAATCTCTTTTCAGTAGCAGTTTCCCTCTCAGGCTGGCCAGTGAGATTCCTTCTTCCCACTGAAATTCCTAGAGGAATTCTAGTTCCCTGAGGTCCATTGTTTCAATAGTCTGATAGCGAGGCTCACGAGTGTCTCTTTAGATCACACAGACCTCCATCCCTGCCTCAGCACTCAGGAAACTGAGGCAGTGGAATGGAGACTTCAAGGCCAGCCTGGGCTTTGGAACAAAACCCAGTCATACATATGTGTGTGTGTGTGTGTGTGTGTGTGTGTGTGTGTGTGTGTGTGTGTGTGTATAGAGAGAGAGAGAAATAAGATAATAGATCAGGCTGCTAGAGGTCACACTTAGAGAAAAGGATTGGGGTGGGAAGAGGAAACCACCACTGGAGAGTGAAGTACCATCCATCAAAGGAGCTCCTTTGGGACCATCCCATCTGTCCTCCTGTCTTAGGGTTTCTATTGGTGTGAAGAGACACCATGACCATGGCAAGTCTTATAAGGAAAACATTTCATTGAAGGGGCCCACTTAACAGTTTCAGAGGTTCAGTCCGTTGTGATCATGGCAGGAAAAGCATGGCAGCATGCAGGCAGACGTGGTGCTGGAGCTGAAGAGTGCTACATCTTGCAGGCAACAGGAAGTTGACTGAGACACTGGGGTTTTTGAGCATAGGAAACCTCAAAGCCCGCCCCCAACAGTGACACACTTCCTCCAGCAAGGCCACACCCACTCCAACAAGGCCACACCTCCCAATAGTGCCACTCCCTCTGAGCTTATGGGGGCCAGTTACATTCAAACCACCACACCCCACTACACCTCATCCAAACAGAGGCCCTGGGAGATGAGTGTTACCCCATCTCCCAGATGCTACATGTGAGGCCTTGAGATCGGTCAAGTGACCTGTGCAGAGGCTCATGGCCAGTGACTCGTAGAGATCATTCCAAATCCTCTGGCTTGTCCATCCTGCTTCTGCCCCATGATCCCAAACTAAGTCACCCTCAGAAGGCAGGTCATCACAGGACGACATATGTGGTGTGCCCTCAGTTAGGAGGTGATACAAGTGGAAAAGGCCTCGGTGAGACGGCCCCAGGACCCTGCACCCGCAGGAGTCTCAAGTCTCCCTTCTGCCCCCCTCACTACCACCCAGGAGTGCAGATGTGGCCTGCCCCTGTGGCCTACCCCCCCTCAAAGCACTGGGAGAGCTGAAGCATCCCCTCGGGCCTCTCTCCCGTCTACTTCTGTCCTGCATATTTCTGTAGGGAGATGTAATGCTTAGGAAGAAAACTGCACATGAGGGAGCCAAAAATAATGGCGATTAAAAATAGAGCCAGTTTCTCTCTCAGCACCCCTGCTCCAGAGGCACTGAGATGGGGACACACAGTCTCGTTGCCCCCACATCCATGCCACCCAGTCTAAGACGGCTGCTGAAGCACCACCCATCACAATCCACTCCACCTGTTATGAAGGAAGAAATGCAACTCCTTCCCCTTGAAGGGCGCAGCCCTGTGCACCACATCCCCTCTTCCAGGACATCGTCCAGGATCTGCCATGTGCCAGCTTCACTTCTAGGGAGGATGGGAAATGCTTGTGTTCTGGGTGGCTCTGCGCAGTAGGGATGAGAGAAGTTGAGTCACAGGACACCTGCCCGGCTTACTAGAAAAAATACTAGACCGGACTCTTCTGGGCTTCCATAAGCACAGTCCTCTCCTGCCACTCCAGTACCGTGTGGCCGCCGTCTTTCCTCTCTGTACCTCAGTGATCTGCAGGGAGTGAGAAAGAACACTCAAGACCTTGTGTGAGGGCCCTTCCCCCACGGCCCCTCACAGGTCTCTGCAGGAGCCGTTGTGAGTGTGAAGGAGAACTGGAGGGCTCACACACCCCTAGTCTGCACTCCCTCAGGATGCTACGTGGGGCCACACGTGAAGGCAGCTGGTGGCCACCTGAAGCTCCTGCAGTTTGCCGAGGAGTGAGAGGGCCCTCTGCCTGGTGATGACTCTCTCCCCTTCCTGTCCCCCATTCCAGTTGTTCGGTTGTTTCTTAGCGTGGGAAACACGCAACGTAAGCATCCCTGCCCTCAATGACAGCAAGTACATCGGGATGAGCGTGTACAACGTGGGGATCATGTGCATCATCGGGGCTGCCGTCTCCTTCCTGACGCGGGACCAGCCCAACGTGCAGTTCTGCATCGTGGCCCTGGTCATCATCTTCTGCAGCACAATCACTCTCTGCCTGGTGTTTGTGCCAAAGGTACCTGCCTCTGCCTCTGCCCATCACAAGGGGACTGCAGAACCCACCGGAGTGGGGGGGGGGGGTGTGCGGGGCAGGGGAGCATGCGCACAGGCTGGTGCGTGCGTGCATGCATGTGTCTGTCTCTCTGTGTCTGTGTGTGTACATGCATGAAAGTACATGTGTGCAGGTAGGTAGAGGCCAGAGGACAACCTCCAGTATTAGTCAGGCTCCATCCACCTTATTTTTGAGACATGGTCTCTAACTGGCCTGGGGCCTAATGGGTAGGCTTGGCTGGCTGGCCAGAGAGTTCCAGGGATCCAGCTGTCTCTGCCTTCCTAGCTTTGGGTTTGCAAGTGTGCATGCACCTCCATGACTGGCTTTTGTCCCAGGAGAACTACCTTAATCTCTTCCAACTCATGCAAGCGTGAGATCTGAGTTCAATCATAAAGAAGTTATTAACAAGAACAAGGGGGCTGGAGAGAGATGGCTCAGTGGTTAAGAGCACCAACTGTTCTTCCAAAGGACCCAGGTTCAATTCCCAGCACCCACATAGCACAGACATACATGCAGGCAAAACACCAATGCACATAAAATAAAATAAGTATTTTTAAAAAAAAAAAAAA